AAAGAAAGAAAGAAAGAAAGAAAGAAAGAAAGAAAGAAAGAAAGAAAAGAGCTAATGGAAAAGTAAAAGGTAACTTCTCCTGGCAAGTAGATTAATAGAACAGAGAGCTGGAATCCATCACATGACTCCTTTGGTCAAATGTAGTGTTTTTTTCCATCCTTTCTCCACCTTAGAATGAAAACTGTTCCAAATTCTTCATGTTATAAAAGGATGGGATTTTGGGGGGGTGGGGAGCAGACATGGGAAGGTGTTAGGTCCTAAAACTCTAGAAGTTAGGTACTGATTTAATTCTCATAACTTCTCCTGGTGTATCTGTAGTTGAACCATATGAAATTGCTAATATTTGTTTTTGTTTCTCAAGCATGACAATTTCATATGATCAATTCTAATATTTTGAAAGGAAGGCCATCAAAGGTAGCATTTTACAAGATACATGAGAAAGAATGGTTATTTGCAATACTTCTTTAATAATATTTGTTTTCTGCCCCCTATTATGATGTATTTGAGTAAACACATTCTGTCTCCAACTGGGCTATAAGCTCCCTGGGGGGCAAGAACTTTCTTAGTCACTGTGATACTGCATGTGCTCTGCACTTGGCCATGCACTACGGTAGGCACTCAGGTATCTATTACATTAAATAAATAAATAAATATATATGTATTATTCCAAAACAGAAGCTTGTTAAAGAGCCTTGGTCATTTCAAGTAGTATAATCCTACTTGTCTAATTTCATAAAGGACCAGAGGGGGAAGAGGGCAAGAATGACTTATTATGGATGTTCTTATGAGTTTGTCCAAATAGAAGTGTTAGACTCATCAAAATGAGGTATAACAGACCAAGGTTGACCCCTTCTAGGTATGTTGCATCTGGTGGGGCCAAGCTTGTAAGTCTTTTTACTCTTAAAACTGGATTTGGGAGAAGTAGACTAACCATAACTTGGAGGACTCTAGAGAAAATTGGATCTCTTTTAAATGAATTTTCCCAGAAGATTTCACCACTAAAATGTCCCAGGATAACTACTCTTCGTCATACACATCTCTGGGGCTAATGAGTTTCCTCAGAAAGCCATGAGAGCTAGAGGGAAACAAGCCAACTTGCTAATGGAAAACCTCTCCACTTTTGTAAATTATTCTTTAATAATGAAAGTTTTAATAATAAGTGCTGCTATTTCTTGAGCACGTCATACATACCTGGCCCTGTGTTTAGTACTTTATTTCATTATCATGTCGAATCATGCTTAATCTTCACTACCCTCTTCTAGAGATGAACGAACTGAAGCTCAGGAAAGTTATGGGAGTGTTCCCAGGTCACAAGCTAGTTAAGTGCAAGGGCTAGGACTTAACCCTCTAGTTTTAGGGGCCATGACCTCAACTGGTGACCTGGTATCAAGAAAAGGAAGTAAATCAGGCAGCAATCCTCATTACAAATCTCAGGAGAGTTCAGAGACCAAGAGAAAGAAAACACCTTAGCAGTGTCTTCTGTTGATGTTACCAGCCCTTTGCAATGGTATATAGCTTATAAACGGGTTTCTTCTTTAAAAAACAAAAACAATGGCACAAAATCTTTCTGGTGAATAGAAATGGATTGGAGTCCCCATCTTGCTGACATGCTTGTGGTTCTAACCTTGGTAACTCTAGCTATTGAGAACATTGGCCAGGCTAATGTTAGGGATTCATGCATGGGAAATCAACTGAATTTTCCTATCCCCATCCTTCCCCCACTCAGCCCCAAACCCAAATACTTCATGACTCAAAGAGAAGTTAGAGGGTTTTAACTCTAGGATGCCATGATATTTGAACTAGAACATAGCTCTAGAGAAACAGCAAATTCTGAAGTACATTGGTTTTAGGGACTTAAGAAGATTTTAATTCTTAAGATTTTAAAATCTTAAGAAGATTTTAATTCTACAATTTTTTCAATACTATTGAAGATGAATGAGAATGTTGACAGTCATTGACATTTAAGGTAAAAAAAATCTATTACTTAAATCTTTTGTGCAGGTATCTTTAGTAAGGACACCAATTTCCAAAACATCCTTTTAAATTAATGTCAAATTCAACACTTGGCTAGAAGTAGGTTGAGTGGCTTACAAATAAAATCTAAAAATTAAATGTCAAGGATCTTTAGCTCTTTACCACAAGAGTTTAATCTCTAGGGAACCACTTTTCTTTAGTCACTGACTAGGAGGAGGAACTAATTTTCCCCAAGGTTCAAAGTGTGTATATTGAAGATCCTCTGAGAAGCATTTGTAGTCCATTGAAAATAATGGATCATATAGTTAGGAGATAATTTGTGGCAGTTAGTTTCAATGTGGTAAAATTTTAAGCCATATTTTCTCTCCTAGGTTTGATCCTGGTCCTGCCCTGCATAGATGTCTTTGTCAAGGTTGATCTCCGAACTATTACTTGCAACATTCCTCCACAAGAGGTAATTCAGGTTAAAGATATGCTCTTAGAAATAAAACCTGTATCTTTCCCATTCCACGGACAGTTGATGTTTTACAGCACGTTTTCAAACTATAAGGGACTGGCTTGAGGAGCCCTGGTGAGTCTTAAAAACCATGGGGCTTTGCTTTTCCCACTGACAATAAAGCCAAGGGCAAGGGCTGCCTTGCTGTAAGACTTGGAATGACTCGGAGTGGTAAGTCCCAGAGAAGAGAGAGAAAAGATATAGTTGGCAGAGAAGCTGGGATGGAGAGCAGTAGCCAAGAGCTTGGAAGAGTCAGATAAGTCATTGTATAAAGCGGTTGAATTTAATTTGGTGGAGGGCAGGGTTTGGTTAGGATTTTATACTTGCTGTCACCTTTCTAGACTTTTTATTAAATCTCTGTGATTCACTTTTTTTTAATGTGTGATTGGATGCAAAACAGTGGAAGCCCGTAAGGAAAGAGCACAGATCCCACTTGCATTTTGATTTCAAATAATTCTTTGCCATTCTTAAAGTACTGTAAATAAATATCCAAGACCAGTAACAGGGCATTAGAGAAGAGAAACAGAGTTACCAAGAACCAAAATGATTCAGGAAGAGGAAAGAAAATGTGAGTAGGGTCTACAATGTGGGAGGGCAGAGGTGATGAGAGGATTATGAGTTGATGTTAATTTTCTTCTCTGTGGTCCAAGAAACTCAGTCAAGATCCAATAATCCCATCGCCATGACACTGGTAGGAAGTACAGAGTCCTTATTTTGGGCTTCAGCCTGTGTCCTAAGAATTGGAGACACTTAGTGACCTACCACGGGCCTTTTCTGGCTCCATACTCCCCCGTTCTAGGTTCGGCTCCTACAGTCCTGACAGAGAGTTCTCACTGGCTGCAAATCACCTCGTCACATTATTCAGAAGGATTAATACAGAGCCTCTGTGGAAGCAAAGAGATTTCCCTTTATGTGAAAACAGAACATGGTCTCTGGTGACATCTATGTTTTCTAAGCAGCACTGCTGTTCATCAAATCTGATAAAAACTGAAAACCAAAAAGATGGCAGGTGTCAGGGAAAGAAGCGTTCTATCTCTGTGTAGATGGTAGAATTCCACCGAGTTCCTACTTGCCACCTTTTAAAATAGAAAGTGCTTAGGCTCCCGTGGCAAATCAAAAAGCTTCTGCCTGTGGGGTGTAAGGCCTCCCTAAGGTGAAGTTACAGGGATAGGTTCAGACGATGGGTGGGGTACAGACCCCACGATGGGTGGGGATTTTGTCACCAACCAGGATGACATTGTACGGCAGCCTAGGGCAGAGTTTGGGTGATGCTGGCCTGAGCTGTGGCGAAGGGTCTCCTCCTGGGGAGAGGGCTCTTAGGCTGGTTGACACTGTCCGTCACTGTGACAGTCATAATAAACACGCGATCTTCCCTGTCCTCGCTCTCCAGATCCTCACCAGAGACTCCGTGACTACGCAAGTGGATGGAGTTGTCTATTACAGAATCTATAGCGCTGTCTCTGCCGTGGCTAATGTCAACGATGTCCACCAAGCCACATTTCTGCTGGCTCAGACTACCCTGAGGAACGTCTTAGGGACGCAGACCCTGTCCCAAATTTTAGCTGGCCGAGAGGAGATTGCCCATAGCATCCAGGTAAAGATGCTGAGAATGAAGAGCCTGTGTCCTTAGTTCATTTATTTTGATTATCAGTGATGATCAGCTATCAGTGGTTCAAAGAATCCGTCTCACGTGTGTGTGCACGTGCACTCACACGTGCAACACACACACACGCACACACAGCTACTGTAGACATTGGGCCTCAGTTTGTGGTTTTATTCCTTTATAATCACAAGCTCTAAGTTTAAATATGTGAGCAGGACATGGGGAGCTGAAGGAATTGGACACCTTACCTATTTTTTTTTAATTCAACATATGAGTTAGCATTGTACATGTTAGCCTTTTCTGAGGAGGTTAGCGTCCTTTTTAATTGAGCTTATTCCAGAAGAAGGGCCACCATTTCTCAGACAGTCCATGTGTTTCTGCATTTCAATGGAATATTTGAACAGGATTCAACTGACACCCTGCAGGCCTGCCATCCCTGGAAAATCCGGCACGGAGCCACCTAGCTCGGTAGTTACGGTGACAGTAATCAGAATTATAGTAATGGTGAGGATGTTGCCATTATCCATCTCACCCCTCACCCATCCTAGTTCATAGACAATTACATTTCTATGTGGCCCTTAATCAATTATGCTTTGATTCTGAGTCTCCCTTCTCTGCGTTAGTAGGGAATTTCAGCTTTGGTCCTTGGCATATCTTCCAGAGTCTACTGTGACACAAAGACCTAAGGCTTTATGACATAGTGTTGGTTCTATAGAACTCTCCATGTCATTTGTAAGAGCCCCATGAGTTTGACAACTCAGATGTTTCCCTTGCCACAGTCCATTCCCCGGCTTCTTGGGAGGTCTCACCATCTCCCCAGTTCTGTAGAAATTGTGGAAAGGCAAGAGATAGCTTGCTGTTTGGTAGCAGAGATCTCTGCCCCTGGCCTCGGAGGAAACAACCTGTCTGATTTCATTCTCTCACAAGACATTCTTTCCCACCCCTCTCTCTGCAGGATAACCAACAGGACATCCTCAGTGGTCTTAAGTTTTTACAAAAGACAAGCATATCTTTGATTTTAGGCTGCTGTGCTCTAAAAAAAAAAAAAATATATATATATATATATATATATATATATATATAATATATATGTAAGTAAGCATATATATATAAGCATATATATGTATATATATATAAGTAAGCATATATATATGTATATATATATATACATATATATACACATGCCTGACTACCTGTTTAAAACTACCTGCCACAGGGGAGAGGTTAAACAGAGCAAGAGCAAGGCACAGAGTATCTCAGCAAGTACCCAATACTATTTATTGAGTTATTGTGAGGCATTGGTAGATCTCTTACGTGTATTATCTGCAAAGCTCATGAAAATCCCGAGAGGGACCCTTTTAGAGGTGGAACAACCTATAAGGAATCAGAGAGGTTAAGAAACCGGCCCAGTGATTCACAGCTGCAGATGGAAGAGCCAGGACAAACCCCAGGAGTGCCAGAGAAGGCCATACCTTGTTGCTGGCTAGATGTCTGTGACAAGAAAATGCGGGATATTTGCCCAACTCCCTTGTCTTCTGACCAATACCCTTTCTTGTGATTTGGAAACAGACCTTACTTGATGATGCCACCGAGCTGTGGGGGATCCGGGTGGCACGAGTGGAAATCAAAGATGTCCGGATTCCGGTGCAGCTACAGCGGTCCATGGCTGCGGAGGCCGAGGCCACCCGGGAAGCCAGGGCCAGGGTAAGAGCTACTCCGTCCACACTGGAAGGCAAGATGCCTAGCTTTGGAGCAGAAAAGGATAGACCTTGAATGGAAGATCAGGCTTCTCAGTGATTTTGATAAGAAAAGGGTTGCTTATTCACAGTTTTTACTGAGAATTTCCTCCTGAGCTAAAAGTAATGGGCAGCTTAATGTACCTTGAGGAAGTTGGGCAACAGGTCTTGGGACAGTCACTTGCCCAGTGGCTTAGCAAGGTGGGTCCCAAGTGGCTGCATTTCTGTCCCCTAGAGAAAAGTCAACACAGCAAACACTAACTCTGAGATCTCAGCTCACACTCCGTGAAGCCGATTCTCTTGTGGCTCAGGAATCTACATTTTTATAAAGTTAGCAATTCTGCTTTTTTTTTTTTTTTTTTTTAAATTATGGAAGTATAACTGACTGACAACGCTAGAGTAGTTTCTGGTGTACAGCGTACTGATCCACCAGCCCTATACATTACTCAGTGCCCATCGCAGCGGGTGTAGTGACCCCCTGGAAGCTGGCATTCCGCAGTAGCCAACCCCGTGCCCGTCTTTTGAACATTATCGTTAGGTATGGTTAGTGAGCTGGACTGAAAGGGAATGGTGGGGTGATTAAACCCAATCCAGGGTAGAAGACACACTGTAAGCCTACCCTGGCCTCGAATGTTCTTGAGTCCGTTGGGTCGATAGCCTTCATGGCTGCGGGAATGGGTTTCCCAGAGTATCAGAAACCAAGGGAAGATGAGAACCCTTTTGCCTAAGCTCCTCAGAATCTTCCTTGAGAACCAATGAGTTTTCCCCTGCCCTGGTCCCTTTCCCGTCTCTGCTTTATCTGGGAAGCTCCAGCAGCTTCTCAGCAGTGGACGTGGAGGGCACAGAGACAGTGAGTACCCGTGGTAAATCCATCTTGGGCAGGAGAGAGCTAGATGGGGAGCCAGCAACAGGGAGAGCCCTCCCACGGGGGTTCTTAGACTGCCCTGCCTGCTGCTGGCCATCCAGGGCGGAAAGAACTTGAAACAGTCCTCACACTGGAAGAATGAGGCTGAACTGGCATCAGAATTAAGGTCTCCTAGGATAAGAAAGAACAACAGGGAGAAGCGGGTGCACGCCTTGAATTTCAAACTTCTCTGAAAGCTAGAGCGGGGGATGGGGAGGCTCCAGGGTAACTGGCCCGCATTATTCCCCTAAAGCACATAACGATGTGAAACTCTCACCCTCGCCAAAGCAGTAGTTCGATGAAACCCCGTGGCAAAGTGGGGCGGGGCGGGGGAGGGGCGGCAGACCGGCATGGGTTGCAGCCAAAATAAGAAAGCCCGAGTCACAGTTCGAATGTTTCTTTCTGAGCTCTTTTATTTCTGCCGGCTTAGGTCGTTGCCGCCGAAGGAGAAATGAATGCTTCCAAGTCTCTGAAGTCAGCCTCCATGGTGCTGGCCGAGTCCCCAGTAGCCCTCCAGCTGCGTTACCTGCAAACCCTCACCACTGTGGCCACCGAGAAGAATTCCACCATCGTCTTCCCTCTGCCCATGAATATCCTGGAGGGCATTGGTGGTGTCAGCTACAATAACCACGAGAAGGCTACGAACAGAGCCTGAGGTCCTCGGGCTGTGGTCAGCGGCTGCTTGGGGAGCTGTTGCCAGTTTTCTCAGAAGAACCCCGCGGTCAGAAGGACTGAGAATTGCAACAATGTTGAACCAGAGTGACGCCGCTGCTAGAATAGCATTGTTAGGGAAATGCCATAAAGCCTCCCCGCAAAAGTGGGGGGCCTGGTTTTATTATCCCAGAGCATAAACAGCTTTGCGTTATCCATATTAGTCAGTTAGCAGGCGTTCGGACTTAAGGCAGGAACTTGCTTGCTCGCAGCAGGGGGAAGAAATCTTTGCAAGACCTTGGCTAAGATTTCAGCATTAATTTTTATTGGTTTTAAGAAGCTCTCTAGATAATTTATAAAATAACATAGGCCTCCTCTTTATACTAGATATTTGCTTTTTATAATTCCCAAGTAACTATTTGCTAAATCTCCAATAATGGCAAAACCCTCCCACCCTTCTCACCCCCAACCCTCTGTGTTTGAAATCCGGATTGATTTTGATGTGAAAGGCTGAAGAGGCACCCAGGCTGCAAACCCATCACAGCGCCCGGGGCGGACTCTTGCTGCCCATGACCAGTGGCCAATGCTCAGCCTCCTGGCAACTTTGTCAGCGGCTGGGACAGTGCACGGCGCTTACAAGCAAGAATGAGGCTTATGACTGGTTCTGTTGGTTGGAATCACTGGGGAATATCCTGTGAACCTCATGTTTTTCACCCCATTATTAGACCCAAGAGCCACCAATAGTTAAGAATTGTAAACGCTATTCACCCCCCCCAAAACCCCCTAAACTGTTCAAAATAAAGAAGCTGTAGACTAGAATATAGATGTGATGTATTTTAAAAATTGCTTTGTCAGAGATTTTTTTGTTGTTGCCATGGTACAGTTTTGAGTTGTATTTTGAGCAAAGGGCTAGGATTTTTTGTTACCATGTACTGACTGCTGTGTGTGAACACCGTGCTCAGCCCTTTATGGATGCCGAGAAGAATCTTTATTTTGCAGATGAGAAAGTTGATGGCAAGAGTTTGAAAAACTTGCCTAAGAGCCTGTCGCTAGTTTTGGGTTAGGATTTAAAACTAGGTCTCACTGCAAAGTCCTTGCTCTTAAACATCATCCTGGTTTACTTGGGGCAGGTGCGAGGGGGCTCCTCTTGCCTTTCAGGTTCTGCAAGTGTGGGGGCCCACTGGAGTTTTTCATCGTGTCCAGGACTCTGAGAGCATGCACACACATGCACACATGCTCCCCACCCATCTCATGCTCCTTTTCACTGCACACGGACTTCCTGTATAACACTCCCCATCCCAGGCCCCGGGCTCTGCTTACATCCCCTCCATATGCTCCCCTCGCACGCGTCCTGTCAACGTATAGATATTAACTACATATAAATATAAAGTAGGGATCACATTCTGCCTTTTGTTTGTTTGTTTGTTTTGTTTTTAAAGATTTTACTTATTTGTCAGAGAGAGAGAGTGAGTGAGCACAAGCAGGAGGAGCAGAAGGAAGAAGGGAAGCAGGCTCCCTGCTGAGCAGGAAGGCCAATGCGGGAGATGCGGACTGGATCCCAGGATCCTGGGATCATGACCTGAGCCAAAGGCAGATGCTTAACCGACTGAGCCACCCAGGCATTCCTGCCTTTGGTTTTGTAACCTGCTTTTTTTCATAAGACCGTATCATACTTGGTATGAGTTCTGGACAATTCACAGTTAATACATTTTTTAGTAGATTCTAGTGACTCTTTAACTCTAGCACTCATTTTTAACTCACTGAGGTTCATATTTTTCCTGAGAAGCTAAATACTTGCATTTTAACAAAAACTGGAAACAGAAACCGATCTCAGTTCATTCACACCAGCCAGAATCTGAGTCGATGAGGTCACACCATGCAGATGCCCCAGATGACCATACAGCTGAGGAACAGTGAGTGGTGCAGTGACTGACCACATGCTTGGACACTGAGGGTCACCTGAGCTGGCAGGTCCTACATGTACAAGGACATTTTGTGAGCGCACTTCCTACCCTATTCCAGAAACCCACACTTACTACTTCTTCTGGTTTCCATAATTGCCCTGAAAATGCAAATCTTTCTTGTCAATGTACACCAAATGCTAAACTAGTGGTTCTCCCTGAAGGTTGTGGTTCTCTCACTCACTAGCAGCTCTTTTTTTTGAAACACACAGCCTGCTGGCATGCCCCTAGGGCCATCCCGCTAGTGTGGGAATGGGGTTTGAGAGCTGTATCAGAATCTCTGGGGCTATACAGAGGTGTTTTTTGGTTCTTGTGTTTTTTTTATTGTTGTTGTTTTTTGTTTTTTTAATTGTGTTTTCCATTTTTTTAAAAAGATTTTATTTATTTGAGAGAGCGAGAGCATACATGAGTGGGAGGGGAAGGGCAGAGGCAGAGGGAGAAGCTGACTTCCTGCTGATCAGGGAGCCCAACAGGAGGCGGGCTGGATCCCAGGACCCTGAGATCATGACCTGAGCCTAAGGCAGAGGCTTAACCAACTGAGTCACCCAGGTGCCCTGTGCAGATGTGGTTTGAAAGCTCTGTGGGAGATTCAAATTACTCCATCCCTCCCGCATTGTCTCATTAATTCTTCAGCTTGCCATAGGTCATTTATTATATCGGTTACTAAGGGCTGGCTAAAGAAATCTCTGAAGGGAACTATTTTGGGGGGTAAATGGCATAGAAGAATCAAGGAAGGTCACGGCTCTCCTGGAACGTGACTGCCAAAGACAATATTCAAAACACAGTTGCGGCCCCCCCCACCTTAGGGTGAAGTTTGTTTTTCTTTTGGGGGAGGGGACCTGGAAGGGGAGTCAGGGCCCACAGAGGAGGAAAATAGCAAACAACCTCTTAGAAGGAAGAATCCGATCTCTTTAGACACAGGCCTGGATCATAGTAATCCCCAAGCACAGATGACCCGAGGGTGTTTTTCCTGCTTTTCCAGACTGTGGGTACACAGTCCTCAGCTGCCCAAGTTTTCCTTGCCCTCCAGATGCTGGGCCAATACAATGAGATTGCACACACTGGTCCCTGGGTGTGTTTGGCTGTGCCTGACCTTGGAGAGGTGATCTCTTTCCAGAGTCTTAAATGGGAAATGGTAGGGGAGGGGCAAAATCCCCCTTTGTTCTTGCTGTAATCCCTGCCCTCCCCTCCCCACAGGTCTAATCAGCTTCTCAGCCTTCCAGCCTCTCCCTCTCTTTTAACCCACCTTTCCCACCACCCTTGGTACTAGGATAGGTAGGTTTCTATCGGACCTTTCTCTTCCTGTCAGGACGTACCTTACACAAAACTTGGCTCTGGTTTTCAAAGTCTTTGTTCTTAACTTCTCTGATTTTGGGTATAATTAAATACCCTGGGGTCTAGATAAAAGATCCTGGCTCTTCTTCTGGAGTTTACTTTAACTCTGCCTCTAAGATTCAAAACTGGCTAGCCAATTCCTAGAGATTTGTGCCATTCATAGGCAAACTAAACAATCCAGAGCCCCTATCCCAACTGCCCTCTTTATCTGCCTCCCACTCTATGGGCTATTCTCCATCTGCCCAATCCCCCAAAGGTCAGGTACCAGACACCTAGGGACAGCTCTATGCCCTAGACCCCATTGAAATTACTCAAATTGGCTAATCCTCAACTTGTTTATCCCTCCTTGGCTGTTTCTGCCCATGGAAACTACTAGAAAGGCTCTCACCCACACTTTCTCTTGTTCCCTCTGCCCCATGACTGACCCTATTGTATCCTTGTGTGTGGCCCTTTTTGTGGAACGTACCAGCTCCCATTGGAATCTGTGAGTATATTAAGCTTTCCTTTCAATGGCAATTGTTTCTTGATCCTTTGGCCTTGTCATATCGGCATAATAATAAAACTTACATTTAAAAAATACCAAGTCATGAACCTGGGATTCTCATCTCCATAGAGAAAGTACTTCTCTCTAATTCAGCTACTCAGAGCAGATACCTGTTGTTTTTAAAGAATGATTGATTGATTAGAGAGAGAATGAGGAGTAGGGCAGAAGGAGGGGGGGAGAGAGGGTCTCCAGCAGACTCTGTACAGAGCGTGGAGCCTGACACGGGGCTCAATCTCACCACCCTGAGATCATGACTTGAGCTGAAACCAAGAGTCGGACGCTCAACCGACTGAGCCACCCAGGCAGCTCAGGGCAGACATCTGTTCTGATGTGTATAAAGTGTCTCTGAAAATAATACACCCTATAGGTCATTCCCACAGAAAATCATACGTCTGTAAATTACCAACAAAACTTCTTTGATTTGGGCCGCTGCCTTTGAGACCTTCTCTGATCACACTTGAGCATCACCAGTGCCTCTTGATTTAGTGGTCTCTGTAGAATTCAGGCCAAGTGGTGGTGAGGTGTGCAGGCGAATGGGGTTTCTGTCTTCATCAAAAGGGGCAGAAACGTGTCCGGCCACAACCACTGTATGTTGTCATGCAGCCTATGTGCTTCGGACTCATTGTCTTCTGAATAGTTTCAACTCTGAGGAAATCTTAGGAAAATATTTGTACCTCTTTTTGCATATGCCCTTCTCCAAATGTTCTCCCCCTGTTGAGTACTCTGTATCCTCTCTGACCTGCCTCATCTTCCTTTGGATATAATCTTAAACTCTGCCCGATCGCCTTCTCTACCACCTTTAACCACTTAGTCACATTTAAATTTCCAGGATGAGATCTTAGCATCTTGAAAGTCTTTGCAGTCTGTAGGGAGCAGGAGTTTCAAAAATTGCTATCGATCTTCCTCTGCAGCAGTGTCCTGGCATGGCTGCTGGGTGGGGGTTTGGGGTTGGGAATCAGTACTGTGTGGGTTCAGATTGGCCCAACTCTACTTCTGATCATCCCCCCGCCCCCAGTCAGGTCTACTTTCACTCATTCTGGTTTGGGGACTTTTCCCTTAAATTGGGTGCCTCTGGAGTGATTGTGACTTTACGGCAGGGAGATCTTATCTCCCAGTCAATACCCAGGTGTGGCTGTATCAGGAATCTTCCCTTCCTCCGTCCCC